TTTCTGCATTACTTGCTGTTTCTAATAATTCTTGTCCTTCTTCTTGTGTAGATATTTCTTGTAATGGAATTTCTATATTATCGAGTTCATTTAACATTCTCTGAAACCCTGCTCTACCTTCTCTTAAATTATCAGATATTTTATAATCATCTACACCTAAAACATCCCTGACAAAATTAACACCGTATTCTCTTTGAAGAGTGCTAAATTTATAAAACTTTAATACTCCTTTTTGGTAATATGTTAATGCAATATCATTACCTTTTTCATCTTTTACATATAAGATTTGTCTTCCCTTATGATTTTCCCCAACAAAAAAAACCTCTTCATTACGTATAGTTTCACCATTTTTTTTATAAAATTGTTTAATCATTTTTTTTGTAGTTTCTTTTTTACGAATTTTAACATCATTTTCTGATAAATCTCTTGATATTTCAAATTCCTTATTTATATTATTTTGAAACTCTTCATCATCTTGAAAAGACGTTTCTTCTTCTTCATAATCATCATCATAATCATTATTTTTAAACTCAGGATTATCAAACTCATAACCTCCTTCAGCCATTTTATTCATCTAAAATATTAGATAATAAACAATAAAAAGAACCTGTTAAAAACAACTTAAGATAAAAATAATTAAATTTTTTATTTAACATTATTTTTACATTTTTTACTAATTTTTCTTTTGTTTCTTCATCCATTTATTTAATTAAAAATTGATTCATAGTTTGGTGGATTTCCGTTATCAACTAAAATTATTTTATTAAAGAAAATCAAAGATTTTCCATTTTTTTTTTTAATTCGTTTTTTACTCTATTTTCTGTTTCCTCAATTAGTTTTTTTCTTTCATCATCTGGTAAACTTTTTAAAATTACTTTTTTTTTATTTTTTTTCATCTCATTAAATTTTTCTAATTCATCTAAAATAAGTTTAAATTCATCTACACTTATCTGTCCGTCAGTTAAAGATTTTGATATTAAATCTTTTATGCTGTTTAACTTGCATTCTGCCATTGTTTTAATTTCATAATGTTTTTTTGATTTTGTTGTCAACTTTCTTCTAATTAATTTAACTAGACCTCCTAAACTTCCACATACAACAGCTGCAATTTGTATGGGAAGTAAGATAGGAAAAGCTATTCCTATACCAGCTAAAACAACAGATGTCGAAATTAAACTTGTATCAACACCATCAGTAACATTAACTCCGCGTTTATATTTTTTCTATAGTGATTTACGTTTATCTCTCTCATTTATTAATGTTTTTTCTATTTCTGTTATTTTTTGTAGTCTATAATTTTGTCCATCTTCTATAGGTAATTCTGGATATAAATCAGGAGCTGTAGGTTGTTTCATTTTTTAAAGTAAAAATTGATTTTTTTTTTTTTCTCTTAAATCCCACAGAATTCTTTCTTCGCCTGTTCTCCCGGTTTTTTTATTTATTTTTTTTTTGGAATTTTTTTGTTGTTTTTTGGGTGTTTTTAATAACGTTTTTTTCCAAAGTAAAAAAAAAATTTTTTTGGGAGTAAGAAAATTTTGGTGTTTTTGCGTTTTTTTTTGCTTTTTTTTTTATGAAAATTTAGGGCTCTTTTACTTGAAATGAGGGTAATTTTTTGGGGGTCAAATTTTTTTTTTTTTGGAGGGGGGGGGTATAGGTGTGTGATATTGTGTCCACTGTCCCAGGTCAGGGTGAGGGTCGAGCGCTCGCAAACATGTTTAAGCCGCTACATATGTATGTGTATGATGCGCCGTTTTACTATTTATTCCTTATTTTCTGATATCAAAAATTTTTTGGCATCAGGAAATCGATTTCTTGATATCAAAAATTAAAGAATATTTTCTGATATCAAAAATTCATTTTTGATATCAGGAAATCGATTTTTTGATATCAGAAATTCGCGAATTTTTGATATCAGAAAATATTCTTTATTTTTTTATATCAAGAAATAGATTTCCTGATATAAAAAAAAATTATTTTGTGATATCAAAATATCATTTTTTTATATCAAAATATCATTTTTTGATATCAGAAAATAAGAAATAAATGAATGATGGCTCCCTGTGTGTCAATAAAAGCATCCAAGCTCACCCATGAGCCCACACATAAGGAAATATCTGAAATAATGTTCCCGATAGACCAATTGTTTTATAATGCGGAGTACCGCTACACGATATTGGTCGTTATATTGATGACATAGGGTCCCTTGCTACAAAAGCAAAATGCTTATACCAAGGACACTTCAAGTTTTATTGATGATTTAGACTTCAAAGTCTCCAGAAAAATGCTATTTAATAACAATATTTGAAGCAAAAAACATGTACACTAATCTTCAGTTTGTCAAAACTGGACGAGTACTGAAATACCTCGATCCAACTAATTACGAAATTCGAGTCCCATGCACTAAAAGACAATATATTGAAGATTTTTGAAATTATTCTAAAATATAATATATTTACTTTTGCGTCGAACAATCCCAATCGGCGGAATTAGTCGACCTAAAAATTTACTAAATACTGGAAAATATTTTAGAAAGCTTGACACATAAAAACAAAATACTGAATTGTTCAAGATTTAGATACGATGGCTGGATGATATATTCAGGTTCAACTGACGTAATACACGATCTTTTCGCCTTTTATATCTAATACAATGCATACCCACCTAAATTTTACATACCAATTTTCTCAAAATGAAGTGTAACTTTCTTGACAGTCGTTTTATTACAAAGACAAACGCTTCCAAAATGAAGGTATTTTAGAAATGAAAACGTACATCAAACATACTGAAACTTTTCAATACTTCACAGAAAAAAACTCATTTAAAATAAATGTGTTTAAAGGATTTATGCAAATCGCGGTACATAAGAAATACTAGCAGTCTTTCAAAAAACGTCTCGTAAAAAGACGAAATAGACGAAGTATTTGAAAATACAAGACATGCGATTTTTTTTATTTGTTGTTATTGGCTTTGAACTAGCTGTCAGTAACTGAGAGTACTCTCACATCTGTACTTTGTATCTTTGTTGTTGTTACCCTGCCACGTCCGGTCTGTGTTTTTGTTAGCTGTTTTTCTTCTTTGTATCGATCTGATGAGTAAATTCCTTTTCAACTGGTTTTTATAGTTTGTTCTTACACTATATTGTGATGTAACACCACTTTCCCAGGTTAGGGGGAAGGTTGAGCGCTCAAACATGTTTTACCCCGCCACATTCTTTATGTGCTTGTCCCAAGTCAGGAGCCTGTAGTTCAGTGGTTGTTGTTGGTTCATGTCTGTCATATTTGTTTTTCGTAAATTGTTTTGTTATAAATTAGGCCGTTAGCTTTCTAAATTGAATTGTTTCATATTTTTCATGTCGGGGCATTTTATAGCCGAGCAAACGGTATGGGTTTTTCTCATTGTTGAAGGCTGTAGGGTTGCCTATAACTGTTTACATCCACTTCATTTGAACTTTCGTGGATAGTTGTTTCATTGGCAAACACACCACATCTCCTTATTTCTATACTAAATAGAACTAACTAATTTACTAAATTCGCAAAATAAACAAAGTGAAAAAAAAAAATAAAAACAAGATTACAAAAACACTGGGGCTTAATTTCACAAAAACCTGGCTGCACAAATCTGTTACAGAGGAAACCAATAATTGTTTATAAAAGAAGCGGGAACTTACAATTGTTGACTATAAACCTTAAAATAATTAATATGTGAAACACAAACATACAAAACTTCTTATGACTGATGAAGCCGAACTCTGAGTTATTCTTTCCTTAAACACGACCGAAACACAAGACCTAATGTTAGGGCTCATAGGTGAGCTCGGATGCTTTTATTGTCGAGCCTTCGACTTTAGTCGAAAAAGCGAGACATAGCGATCCTACATTCCGTCGGCGTCGGCGTCGTCGTCGGCGTCGTCGTCGGCGGCGGCGTCCACAAATATTCACTCTGTGGTTAAAGTTTTTGAAAATTTAATAACTTTCTTAAACTATCCTGGATTTCTACCAAACTTGGACAGAAGCTTGTTTATGATCATAAGATAGTATCCAGAAGTAAATTTGTTAAAAAAAAATTTCCATTTTTTTCCGTATTTTACTTATAAATGGACTTAGTTTTTCCGCCAGGAAACAATACATTCACTCTGGTTAAAGTTTTTAAAATTTTAATAACTTTCTTAAACTATCCTGGATTTGTACCAAACTTGGACAGAAGCTTGTTTAGGATCAAAATCTAGTATCTAGAAGGAAATTTTGTTAAAATTTTTTTTACCTGTTTATCCGTATTTTACTTATAAATGGACTTAGTTTTTCTTCCATTTAACATTAAATACAGTCTGCAGTTAAAGTTTTTAAAACATTTATTAGAATCATAAACTATTCTGGATTTATACCAAACTTTGACAGAAGCTTCTTACAATCAAAAGATAGTATCTAAAGGAATATTTTTATTGATTTTTTTCCTCATTTTTGTTGAGCCTTCGATTATCAGCAAAAGTAGGCGAGACACTGGGTTCCGCGGAACCCTTACGAATTTTTGACACACAGGGAGCAATCATTCATATTTTTCTTATTTTCTGATATCAAAAAATAATTTTTTGATATCAGGAATTCAATTTTTTGATATCAAGAAATATTTTTTGATATCAGAAAATAAGGAATAAATAGCAAAACGGCGCCTCATATATGTGCTTGTCCCAAGTGAGGAGCATGTAATTCAGTGGTTGTCGTTCGTTTATGTCTGTTATTTTTGTTTTTCGTTTATTGATTAGTTTTCTCGTTTGCAACTACAATTATTTAATATGTTGCCATGTCGGGGTCTTTTATAGCTTACTATAAGGTATAGGTTTAGCTCATTGTTGAAGGCCGTACGGTGACCCATATAGTTGCTCACATGCACATTATTTAGTCTCTGGGTGATAGTTGTCCCTTTGGCTATTATAGAACATCTCCTTATTTTCATATAAAGATGTGTGATTTCAACAGATAATAAAAAAAAAACATAGTCATTACCTGTTCTTAAAATGCTGAATTACAGCCGTTGTAACATCCTTGCTCACACTTTCCGTGTTCACTGAGGGAATTTTATAATTGTTTATTTCTTGTAATCCGTCATCATCTTCATCGAAATCTGACTTCATTGTCTTGTAAGAAGTCAGAAAGGTAGTACTATGTTCTTCGTCTAACATTTTCCCTAAGCTTGTTTGGAGGGTTTTACAAGAATTGAGAATCCGCTCTTTCGCCGCCAATGCAATTTCTAATTCCTGTTTCTCAAATTTCTCAAAGTCATCGATTTCTGTTATTTTGATTTCTTTTTGCTTCTCAATAACATTTTGGACATCCAGTATCGCTAAGTGCACTTTTGAGCGTAACTGATTTGCGTCCTCTTCAAGCGCTTTCAATCTGACAGTTCGAATATCATCAACAGCGAACGAAAGTTTTTCGATCTTTTTATACATTTCCTTAATTTGTTTCTTCAAAGAAATTCTCAAGTCTCCGACAACTGGTTCTATTTCAGAAAAATCATGGCCCTTGTGTTTTGTAGCAACGCATTTACTGCATATCAAAATGTTGCACGTTGTGCAATATAAAGAAAATTCTTGCTTATGAGTAGTACAGCTGGAGACCGAGCTGAACATGGATCGATCTATACGTTTTAAGTCAGTAATAGAATGACTTTGAGTTGCAGGAATTTTATCATGAGTCTTCCGGCAAGGCCCACACAATGCTGACTTACATTCGTAGCAGAAATACATGCCATTATTTGTTTCACACAAACTACATTTAGTCGTCGATGTCTGCGCCATTGTTTTAACAGGAAGTTGTTTAAGAATGTATGATGATAGTACTTATAAATAGATATCTGTCCTGTCTTGACATACATTTATAATTATACAGATACACATTTAAACCAAGGCCATGAACTACATAGAGGTGCGATCGAGTGAAATATTTTTTTTAAGAAAGATTCAAATTGAAATTAATTCATTTTTTTGGGGGGCGATGACAGGAGTGTTGATTTCCGTTAGAAAAATATATACACAAAAAATATATTTTTTTAATTTTTAAACTGCATATCTTCCTTCAAATAAATTGAACATTTTTCAATAAATAAAAGAACCCAGATACGAAATTTAATCTCAAAAGTGATACCTTGTGATTTTTTAAACATATGTAAAATATTTCATAAACATGTTGAAGGAAAAAAGCTAAATTACAAAAATATATAGATAACCGCCTTAAGGGACAAATCAAACTTTTTAGTCTTAGATGCATGATTATGTTTTATTAGTTGTTATTGGCTTTAAACTAGCTGTCAGTAACTGCGAGTACTCTCAGATCTGTACTTGGTGTCTTTTTGTTGTGGTGATGTATTAGTACCCTGTCACGTCCACTCTGTGTTTTTTTAGATGTATTTCTGCTTTGTATCGGTCTGATGAGTTAAGCCCTTTTCAATTTTTTATAGTTTAATTTGTTCTTATGTTGTACCGGTACACAACTGTCCCAGAGTTTAAATTGATTGGCACGACTTCAAAACTAGTTTAACCCCGTCACATTCTGTATGTGCCTGTCCCTAGTCAGGAGCCTGTAATTCACTGGTTGTCGTTTGTTGCTGTATATCATATTTGTTTTTCGTTCATTATTTTTGTACAAAAATCAGGCCGTTAGTTTTCTCGTTTGAATTGTTTTACATTTGTCATATGCATGGGGCCTTTTATAGCTGACTATGCGGTATGGGTTTTTCTCATTGTTGATTGCCGTACGTTGACCTATAGTTGTTAATTTCTGTGTCATTTGGTCTATGGAAAGAGTTGGCAATAATACCACATCTTCTTTTTTTTTTTATATTTTATGAGTTCGATATAAGTTTCCAGGCTTATTCTCGTTGAGATTATAATTTTTACATTTCACACTTTTAATGTCTTTTTGATTTACAGTACATATTGTTATATCCCTAACTACGAAGAAGTATATAGTTTCATATCCATCCGTCAGTCCGTCCGTTGGCAATCTACCCGTCAGTCATTTTCGTATACAGATACTAACTAAAATACTGTACATTGGAATGCGAACATGCTTTAATATATGGTAATATATAATTTTTATATTACTTTTATAAGGTTACGGTCAAAGTAACCAAACCACAAAAATGACTGAAATTTGTGCAAAAATGTTGTACCATTTAAAAGACAAGATGTTTTTTTAATCATGGTTTATGTGGGGGTTAGGGAAATGCTCACTATTTTTTTTTATTGAGGGAGGGAGGTGCCGTCGAACTCTTCTATAATACCCTCAGCAATATTAAGCCTCAACAGCATCTAAGGTACAGTTACATGTAACCCCGCCGCATTTTTGCGCCTGTCCCAAGTCAGGAGCCTCTGGCCTTTGTTAGTCTTGTATATTTTTTTTTTATTTTAGTTTATTTATATGTTTTGGAGTTTAGTGTGACGTCCATTTTCATTGAACTAGCACACAATTTTATTTAGGGGCCAGCTGAGGACCACCTCCGGGTGCGGGATTTTCTCGCTGCATTGAAGCCGCATTGGTGGCCTTCGGCTGTTGTCTGCTCTTTGGTCGTGTTGTTGTCTCTTTGAAATATTCCCCATTTCCATTCTCAATTTTATAATTTCATTGAAGTGTACTGTTAAGTAATTATTGTGCAAAATCTTATAATTAGTTGTTGTCCGTCAATGAAGCCGCAGGTTTTATGGAGGAGTAAACTTGTCTCTTTTGTAATTGAATTAACTGAGGTATAACGGGCCGTAGAACTATTGAAGGGATGGATGGATGGACGAATGCTAAACGTCCATTGGCAGGTATTACATGCACAGCAGGACGATAGCATCTAGAGGTGATATGATTTTAATCATGATTTGTAAGAGACAGTCATCCACAGCTGGATTTTAAAAGTGGTAGTTCAAAAGGCAACAATATTCTGAAATACAGGTTTCCCTACCAGCATAAAATACTTTTGAGCGCAATCGTGCTTTCTTAGCTATTACTCCTGATGTTGCATGCTAAGCGGAGAACAAGCAAAATTCATTTTCAAGTCTGGTTTGACCAGGGACCGAACCCACGACCTCCCACACTCGTTTCCGTCGAGGTAAATGGTCTTTATCCGTCTCTAGGATAGTGCGGTCGCAAAATTACACCACAAAAATCGGAAAATAAATTCAGAGGTCAATGGAAGGTCTTCTTCCTAATACAACTTCTGAACAATGATGACCGTCTTCTTCAATAACGATATATTGATTTACACAATTAGGATACAAACTCAATAAACATAATGATTGCATTCGATTTCCGCACTTTCTGAAAGCATATCCAAAGATCATAAACTACTGGGTCAGATGCAAAACATTTACGAACACAAAATCCAACAGTTGTGTTTTTTTTTCCATCTGGAAATTTAAACTCGTGCAAAGTCAGGAAATGGGATTTCTTTTTGAAAGTTTATTGAAAGATTATTTGCCCTTCATGTATCAGCAGCGAAATTTTAAGTATAATACTAATTATATATTTTAAATTCTAGTTATTTAGCTTAATCTTAATTGAGTTCGAAATCAGACACTGTTCCATGATGTTTTCTAAAAATTTGTTAGAAAATGTTGGAGGTTTGTTTACTTTCATCGTGGTTGAGGTTGTCAAAAAATGGAATTCGATGCGACTGTCATACAAGTTAGAGGTTTAGCTATCTATATTACCAGGTTTAATCCACCATTTTGTACATAAGAAAATGCCTGTACCAAGTCAGGAATATGACAGTTGTTATCCATTCGTTTGATGTGTTTGAGCTTTTGATTTTGCCATTTGATTAGGAACTTTCCGTTTTGAATTTTCCTCGGAGATCAGTATTTTTGTGATTTTACTTTTTTTGTCAAAGGAACGTTTGGAAGAGTATATCATATGTACCTTTCAAATATTTTAGCTTCGGGTATCACTGTAGAGACATTAATTGTAATTGTTAGAGGTTTCTTAAAATTCCATGTTTATCAAAAGTTTATATACCTTGGTTGCAAACTTTGTTTGGTTCTTGTCTCAAGCATTGCTATTATGTTTTACAACTATATGCAATGAAAAGGCGAAGGAACAGTCTGTTTACAATATTCAAAAATTTGATTGGGCAATGAATAGCTTTGACTTTCAAGTGCCTGACTGGAACCAATATGATAATGTGCATTGTCCAACCAAATTTTTCAATATAGTAAACCCATTGTTGCTTCGCTTATCCATGATTGTAGTTACGTGTAAATCTTGATTTCAATGTTTGAGCAAGCATCCAACTTAAAGTTTGCAAACAAGGTGTTTAAACTTATGATCAGCATGGAATATTATAGAAGCTCTAATTTAATTTTAGAAAATCGCTAATTTTACTGGTTCAAATGTCCTGTACCTGGCCAGTCCGGTATACGGCAGTTGTTATCAAATAGTTCGTTTCTATGTATGTTGACGTTTGTTTTTGTTGCACTTCAGTGTTCCTGTTGTTCCTTTGTTTCCTCTTATAGTTGATGTGTTTCCTTCGGTTTTAGTTTGTAGCCCGGATATGTTTTTTCTCAATCGATTTATGACTTTTGAACACCAGTATACTACTGTTGCCTTTATTTACATATTTCCATAATGGGAATCAAAGTATAATTATTAATGTTCCGTATCAAAGAGTATTTGGACCATACGCGTCTGGGTATTTAACACGAAAAATGTTGAACAGTAATTGCGTAAGGTATAACCCTTCAATGTGTCATAGATTAAGTGTTTCTAAAAATGAGAATTTGACTTAGACAATATTTTGGTACATAACGTGATTAATGAAATAAAATGAATTTTACTTGCAAGATAAAATAAGAGTAGAAGCATTTGTGTATGGTCATTATTATTTGTCTTTACGAAAACCAATATGCCGATTTCCGAATATAACTAAATGAACTATTAAGCAAAAGGTCAACTGTTTTACACATTAGCAGTTGGAGCATTAGACCCTCTATTTTTTTTTTTTTTTGGTGTTTCAATTTGTGAAATTAAGATTTTTTTAAACACTTCAAATTATTTTCAGTTATTTAATTTGTTCGTGCTACTCTTTATACGATTTACAATTACAGTCATTTATACGTGCTGCCTCTATTCTTATGTAGATACAACTGTAATTGTAAGATTGTATGAATAAGAGTATGAACACGTAAGTTAAGATAAAATAAGTGGAAGTTGGAAAAAAATTAAAGAAAATCTAATCTTAACGCCGGGGAAAAGAAAAAAATGTCCATGCCTCAAGCACCTAAGGTTTCACGTACGGACGAAATTGTTGATAGGATAAAGGTGCTTAAAATTGACTCTAGATAGCGAAAGCAAGACAAGTTATATACCAAGATTCAGTCATCATGTAACAAGGATAAAGGATTTCAGTTTGAAACTTGCGCTGATTTTGGTTCAGAGAACGAGCTGTGTCTGTTAAGGAAGTTTAATCTATTCGAAAAAAATATATATGGTCTAAATACTCATATGGTCCGGTCCGTAAATAATCTTGCGATATTATACAGAAATTTGTCTACTTTTAAAATCTATACATTGACCTCTATATGTCGTTTCGTTGCACGCGCTCGTCGTTAGAAACATGCGTTAAAAACCGCGCACTGTTAAACGGCCGAGCCACCTAAATCTCAGCTAACGGCAGTATGTTCAAAGTGTCCCAAACCTCCTTTTTCATGACATACACAGAACATTGAAAATACATAACCAACGACTTAGTCTTCTTACTCATCCTCACCCAGTAGATCCACTTCATGTTTATCATCATCTCTCAAACTTGGGGAATAAAATTGAAAAAACACAGGCCATTTTTCTATC